CAACATGGTCGCCTGTCAGGGAGAAAGAAAGTCATTCTTTGGAAGTTGCTTGTGAGTTTAAAAATCTTGACAACTTTGGCATCAGCTATTCCCTTCATTTTTTCTTTTACTTCATTTTTAAAGACTTCTCCTCCTCTACAGAGTTTATATTGTGATGATTATTTTTTTCATCACTCTTACAGGTGTTCCTTATAGGTGCCGGAGAGCACACAGTAAAACACGACTTCCGGCCTGGTGTTTACTTACACTTACTTACACTTCCCCCCACTAGAGGCTCAGTCAGCGCGACCTCTGCCCCCCCAGCGATGAAAAGTACATCCAACCGCGACGAGCCTCGTCCTCACGTCTGTTGCTTTTTGGTCTAATTCCCACCTCCCCTGCAGCAAAAGATGAACTACATTGGCTCCACCGCTAAAGCTGCCATGTTCGCTTGCTCTGCATAATGAGATCAGATCACAATATGGACAAAATGCAGACATGCATATAAATCACAGAAGTTAAGAGCCAAGGCGTGATTGGATTGTTCATTAGCCACATAGGAAATCCAAATTCAATGCACTACATGCTGAAGGGCCATTCTCTGAGTAGTGCAGTGGCCACCTGAGCAGAGCAGGGAGCTGCTTTCTGTGTGTGTGTGTTGTAACCTGAGCTTCGCCTTGCTCAGATGACATCACCGGCCAGCTGCTTGTGGTTTCAGTGCACGTTAGTGCACGTGAGCCCTTATAGCCACTGTTAGCTCGGTCGGTTAGCTACAGTATGCTCAGAGGCAATATGAAGTGCTCCCAATCTTCATCTGCACGGGATCGAGGTCACGAGGGTATAAGCGGATGTCAAATTCATTCATGCTGCCAGATTCTTCATTTTCGACTGGCTGCATTTATTCTTTGTCTTTCTATGGTCAATACATGTTTTGTGTTTTTTCGTTCAGCTGAGTGTGATTCCATTCCACCTCCTTTGGGCAACAATGCTGGGCTGAAGAAGCACTTCAAAAGACTAGAACACTCAGTTTTAGTGGCTACAAAAAACGTTTTAATCAGCGATGATCCACTTATTTTCGGTCCGCATCCTCTGGGCAAAACGTTTGGCTCAAGTATTTGTGCTGAGAGCGTCGGGAAGCACTTAAATCTTTGTGCAATCACAAATGTGTCCAAAACAACACTGATCTATATGACTAAATGTTCTGATTTTTGTCCTCCCTTTCATGGTATTTGCTTCCTGATTAGAATAAATTCAATAAAGTCAATCCGTTGAGCACAGATTAAAGTTTTCCGTGAATTGTGGACCTCGGCCTTTGGCCGGACGATGTGGTAAACACTGGCCACCAATTAAAGTGGAGTGGGCCTCGAAGCAGCAGGCCGCCGTGTCCTACCGAGAGGCCCTGTTTGTAGCTCGTGATCACAGCGGATTTGGCCTGAGACACAAAAGCTTTTCCCTTAAAGTGCCGCCACAATATGGTGAATGCTCCCGGCGAGCGTTCCATCAGGAAAATACTTTCACTCGCTTTTAAAGTGTCCCTCCGTGCATAAATGCTGGGAGCTGAAAACTGTCGTGTGCGAGGGCCCGCTGAAAGCGTTTAAGAGCAGAGAAACTCAACGCCCGACGCTGGATGCACAACGTCCACTTCTGCTGTGAGTCTGCAAATCAGAAGAGTCCAGGTATCAGTGTCAAGTGCATTTCTAACATATCACATTAGCACTGTGCAGCATATGGATGTTTCATCGATATGGTGATACAAGACTGGAAGTTGGGTTAGATTTTGTACATCATTCAGTTGCATTTAAACGCTCACTATTGTTTTTCAAAAATGTCCCCGTTGCAACATCTGCATCGGGATATTTAAACGTCTAACGTGCCAGTAAAAAGATGAAATGAGGGCTTATAAAATGTATAAATGCCCCCAAAAACGGAGTCAGACCGCCTACGATTTTCTGCTGACAATCAAGCTTTTCATTGACAAAATATTTCAGCACTGAATCAGTATTTTCCTTCGTTACCCGCTCATACTACTGTAGCATTCACCTGTTTGTGTGCATCTCAACGTTCCAACGGAGTCTTTTTCTAAGCTCCCACAGAGTGGATCCGGGGATGGAGTGTGGGGGTGGGGGGGGGGGGGGGGATTCATTCCCAGAGGTCAAATGGAAAGCCTCGGCTCTGCACGACGGGTCCAAACTAATGCCGCCGGATTGGAGTCGCGGCGCGGGAGAGAGGGAGCCACGTGGTCCGTCCTAATGCGGCAAGTCGCAGCGGACGTGCTTCGAGTTGACGTCGCAGTCCGGAGACAAAGTTTAATGGGCAACGGGATGTGAAACTGGTCACATATCACATCTGTGTGAGCGGCTTCCTGCTGACGCTCCCCGTGCAATTTGTCACAATCTATTACTGTCTTCACTGACACACACACACACACACACACACACACACACACACACACACACACACACACACAGACTTTGATCAATCTCATTGCCATTCTTTTGTTTAAACGCAGACAAACACACACACGAAGATAAAGGCCAGCCAACATGCATCAATTGATGCAAATAGCAGCATTCAAACAGGCAGAAGTGGACTCTCGTGCCACATTTGACACAGAATCCCACACGCAGACAGATAACAAGTTAACGCTACAAAATCCTGGGGAGACAATTGCTTCCGCCCTCTTCTTTATTCAACATGCAGCCGCTTAATTGTCCGCATGATAAATTACAGCCATCTCAGCAGCCCCCGTGTGACACACACACACACACACACACACACACACACACACACACACACACACACACACACACACACACACACACACACACACACTCGGGTTGTATAGAAGCACGGATGCGCCGACGTGAGCTCTGGATTTGCAGGGAGAATGTCAAGGGAGAACTCCCCCGTTAATGAATCATGCTGTAACTTAATTTTGAAAGAGCAGGGAGACATATTGGGCACGTGCACCGTGCTTGGTTCTATGCAGTGATATTACTCTGCGTGCTTTTGTCACGCATGGCGCTCATGTCTCGCTTTGTCGGGGTGTAACACATGGGTTTAGGGCATGGAAGCAGTCCGCTCAGGTACTGATCCTTTCAGCATTTATTTGCTCCCGCAGAAGACAATAAAACACAGACGTTGCCTTCTGGTCTCCGCACATCAGCTCCCTACACGCACACGGGGTCTTCAACAGAGTAACGCTTCTGTGAAGGAAAAAAACGGACTACGGAAGCCGAGGAGGCGCAGGAGAGATGAATCGCAATTTCCGCAAATTTAACTGGTCAAAATAAAATCCGCACACACACACTTAACACGATTGTTGAATAATAACCAAAAACCAGATACAGGGGCTCGCATGAAAACATGTTACTGTTGGGTTTCTCCTGCTCCGTCTGATGAATATTGTCTTTGAAGAATTGAAGAATTGTCTTCTTTGACACAATTATAGTCATCCCGATGTGTCAAATATACCTCAGCTTGGTCAGCACTCCGAAACTACCAGGCAATGATGTGGAAGTGGAGGTAGGAGGAGGAGGCCATCGGCTAGAACTGGACGGAAGACATTTCTCTTCAGGTCGAAATCAAATGGGAGAACAACGCAGCTTATCGCCGCCATGCAGACGGCGTTGGGATTGACTCTTCCACTAAGTGACTGTGGTCCCTCGGTGAAGCGGCTTAGAACAAGTCAATAGCTGGATGCGATTCCAGTTCCTTCAATTAAACGAAGACGCGCCAGCTTTCCCTTCTTATCTCGGGTCATTTCGGGCTCGGGTTAGATCACAGGAGAAGAATGTCCTCACTGGAAAACAACGGTTTGCTGTTTGGGGAAATGCTTAAAATGACCTGTTTTATGACAAGTGACCTATTGTGGTAAATAGCATCTGTCCCCTCACACAAGCCAGAGAGGGGACGACGTATTGGGAATACAAAGTGGCTGACTTTATCACTGCAGTTGCATCACGTCTCCTCAGTACTTTTGACAGAGGGCTCTTTTTACGACCTGAAAGTATTCTACTGTATATAAATGTAGTTATTGAGGTTTTTTCTCCCTTGCTGAGTTAACGTTGTTTTGTTGACAAGACTCCTTTTGTATAAACTAAAAGAAGAAGCACAAGTTGCCAGAACGTGACCTCAACTGGAGGTGCAAGAGCACTAGATGCCAGTAACCAATGCGTTAAAACTGTGACAACAAAACACACTCTAGAATTTAGAGCATCTCCCACTTTATTGCAGCCGGGTGACACTCTGCTCAGTCCTTCTGCGTGGTTTCACCTGATTGTAGAAATGTCAGTAATTTGGGTTCTTTTGCCCATCGGGTCCCTTCCAGTACATCATATGTATTTGCACGCAGTTAAAAAAAGAAAGACTATATCTATATGTAGTGGCCATTTGTCCTTCAGACCAATAAATCATTACATGTCAACGGGCAACTGCTGCACCTTCTTTTGTTTCTTTCACGCAGGAAGAAAGCGAAACCCAAGTGCATGCTGGTCCTGTACCTGGCTATGCCCTTCGGTGACCTCGCAGGTGTCCAGAGTATTACGCAATTAGTGGTTCAATTAACCCAACAATTAACCAAACTGCAAAAAATGATTAAACTAAATCGAATACAAAAACAGAAAAAAACGTAATACTATAACATATTAATCGTAATACTATCAACCTAAGAAACCAAACAATAATAACAATTAATAAATAATAGCTCCCACAATATATTTCATATGTGAAGTTTAACTACTATTTATAAGCTTAAACTTTTTAGCCTCATATTCCTGGAAACCAAAACGTTTTTTTAATGAAATGAATAAAATACACGTAAGAGAATATGATTTGTTTTTAGCGGTCATCCTGCACTCTCGATGATCAGCTGGAGGTCACACTGCGCAGTGTGTCGATGTACAGAATAAAACGCCTTTTCCTTCCCCGCCGGGGCACGCGCGCCACACATGCGTGTGCGCGCGCATAGTGAGCCAGTGGGTCAGCCTTGAACGCACCCAGCTCTCCCACTCTCCCACCCCTCTTAGTCCAGGGCACTTTCGTTGCGCATTCCGCCCGTCAGTGTGCCCTCGTGTGGTTGCTTATACTGCCTACTACGGGACACTCCTCCCTCTCCTCCCTCCCGCGTGACCGCATCGGGACTCAGCCGGTGGGTGAGGTAGGGGCTGGCTGCTCCTGACTCGCTGGCGCACAACGAGACCCGAGAGCGGCCGAGGTGAGATCGCTGCGCCGTCGGAGCTGTCCACTGCGCCGTGGTGCTGAACCGCACAGACCGCTCTGCTCCGCGTCCTGCGCCTCCCTCCTCCGTGCTGCTCGGGTGGTATTTTGGGATAGGATTAACGACCTGCCCTCTGGCTGTTTTATAGGTGCAAACTTCTCCCGAGGACATCTCTCTCTCACCCACTCTCTCCCCCCAACACACACGCACTCACAGCGGGAATTACACTAACCGTGGATTTGACGAGAGGTTCGAGATTATCACTAATAATAGTTTGTTGAGAAGTGTTTCTGTCGGCCAGTAATCTCGCTCTTGGATTATTTTCCTGGATGTTGAACGTCTGGACGCACAGGTAAAGAGACATTTTTTTGTTTCTTTGTGGAATCATTTTGTTAAAAGCTGTCCGACCAAAGCTCCATCCTCCAAAGTCCCCTTTCTTCCCGGCGCGCTATCGGGCAGCAGGTTTACCCCTCATCATCGGCCACGCACCACAACTCCTGTCCAATAATCCGGCAGGTCACCCTCCTCGACCCAGAGAGGAGAACATCTCCCGATCTGTCGCCTCGAGCTTTTACGATTTCAATTGAGTGTCATGTGGAGGCTCAAATCCACTGATATCAGGGTATCTGAAATTGAGATCAATCGCTGTTATTCTGTCAGAAACCCTGGAGCACAAACACGTCCTTTAACCCTATCTTTTTCTTTAGTGGTTGGAGACACGCTGCAATGCCCAGAGCTTTTAATTTATCCGCGCACTACTTAGTGCGTTACCCCCCCGTCCCCACCCCCCCCTCCATCCTGGCACGGTAATCCTTGAGTGACACCGTTAGCAGCGGCGGGATTATACTTTTGTTTTTCATCCGCAGTTTTGCGCCTGACTCATTTGTCAGTGCGTTAATTGTGTTTATTGATTGTTGGCGGATGAAATCTGCGGTGTTTTTTTTTTGTTGCTGTGCGTGTTTGTGTCGCTGCGATGGTGCAGCAGATGGAGTAAGAGCTAAACCGAAGGACGGATTAACTTCGGCCATAGATACGACTCCGAGTTACAGCCGGTTCTCTGCTGTAGCTTCAGGACAAAAGATACAACAGAATCACTGTGAAGTTATCCAGCTCCTGTATAGAACTTATTGAAAAAAAAAATTGAATAACATCATAATATTTGTTTAATGTCATTTGACACTTTCCAAATTTTTTTATACTTTTTAATTTTTAAAAACATTATGCATGCACGCAAATTCCTACATCCTCTTTACCTTCTCTGTGATTTATACAGACTAGTGAGACGTTTCACCTCTCATTGTAACAGTAATTTAAAATTCCCGCAGAGGAGGTTTGAATGCATAGACATCCGCATTGAACCTTCTGCCATCTGTGGCCGTTTGCAATCTGATTTCCATTCGTTTATTCCTACAATGCATTCACTTCATCTGTGAAAGTGGCACACTGGATGAATGCGTGGGTTTATTCTTCACGGCTGCACAGACTAATTGAATCTCCACTTCAATGCAGACTAGCAACCACGTATCATTTATATAGGTTGCATACTCTGTATACATATGCACACAAGAGTAAGAATACCAACTTGTCCAGATGAATCTGACTCACTCAAACCCACAAGGACTCCCAACAGAGCCAAACTGCTTTTGTTACTGTATATTGTCAAAGGGAGGCCGTTTATGACACACCGACACTCTTTCTTTCCTCCTTAGCTCAGATCCATTTAACAACAGGTAGGAGACGGTGTCGGCCGAGCAGGTGTTAATGGAGCCGCTGCTCTTTTTCCTTTTCATTACAATGACTTTCTTAGAGCGCCGTTGGGAGGCGAAGGCTTTTAAGTCCATTTTTCTTTTCACTGGAACGGAGGAAAGTAATGTGAGGAAACTGATCAAAGCATTTCAGATTTGAGAGCAGAAGCTGTGAGCCTGTGAAGGTGCGGGCGCTCAGTAAAGGCGACTGGTGTGGTGGGGGTTGACACGACAATGAAGCTGTATGTTATGGAGAACAATGGCTAAAAATAGCACCGTTTTATTGCGCGTTGCATCGGATTCTTTCGCAACAACACGCTCAGATGTTGTAACGGGGTTGCTTCAGAGAGCAAACAGGTTTTAAGCACATTTTTAACCGATGTTTTATGGCTTTCTGCGCTGCTGTTGGGTACATCCACTCACTCGGCATCTCGCTTTTCAAAGCCAAGTCAAGTCCCAGAGGTGTTTTCCGTTCCCCACCACTGTGATCGTGCACTAGTCCTTTTATGACTACTGTATTGTCTATTTTAACCTCCCAGTGTTTTTTTACTGCGATGCTGAACAAACACGGGAGATAAAGAAAAAAAAATACACTGCAGCTCCAGCAGCTTCCTTCTTTGGGATCTATGAAATCCATTGAGTCAACGTGTAAAGAACCATCGTACGGCTACTGAGGAAAAACGTGAAGAAAACATAATGGAATAAGGCTCTGTGGTGAGCAGGAATTCAGCATTTCTATGGCAGCTTCAATGCATTTATTCAATGAAAGGTTCCTCAATTCTCTTCAGAAGCAGATTTACACACTTTTCACTGCATAACATTCTGAATTCACCTCTTGTCACAATGTTGGACATATTTCCAAAGCCATGTTTAATATTTAAAGATTCAAACTTGCAATTATGATGACGCTTTGGGTGTAATTTGCATGTTTTTTGAAAAGTCCATGAAGTCTTTCTTCATGGATTGGAGTGAGAAACGGGTTTCCCCTTGTAAAGCACTCTTATGCGTTAGATGGGAGGATCAATACTCCTCTCGTGTTTTGCCCAGAGCTGGTTGGCGATTAGTCTAGTTTGAGACGGATAATCTGGTTCAATCCAAAATCCCAAAATACGTCTTACCAGCTGGCCTACAGCTCACTAGTTAATGTGTTGCATCTCACTTGTGCAGTCTGCACACAGGCAGTGAGACTTTATGCTTTTTGGGGCAGTTATAACACGTAACACCGACATGTTGTCCCTCCACTCAGCACTTCTGTGTCTCCACTATATTTTTTCGGGCAACCGCAAACAGATGACGAGACTGTGAAGCGTGAACAGCTATTTGCCCCCAACACATGTTTCAGAACTAAGACAACAAATAAGAAAAAGCTTTACACGTAGTAAGGAAACAAAGTGGTAACAAACCTTCAGTCTCCCGGCAAGAAAGAGAATACGCGTAGTTACCAAAATATCGACCGGCCATTGATGCTTTCTGTGTGATGTCTATTTATAGATTGTTTTATCAGGCTTTCCACCGCTGCCATTCAGGGGTACATGACCTTTTTACAAGGTCACATATTAAAAAACAACAACATATCTAACGCTTGTTCTCGCTGTCGGAATCAACATTTAAAATGGGTCTGAAAGCCCGAAGCACCTCAACAACAACAACAACACTTCTCTCCCCTTTTCCCTTTTCCCCTCATCCCACTCACAGCTATAAGCTGCAGCCGCCAACTCCCATCTGCGTCCCTGTCGCTGCGTCGTCGTTCCCCTGCCCCGATACGTGGAGTCCTTAGTGTGCAGTTGAGACATGTTACCCTGCTGCCATGTTTGGGAGGAACTACCTCCTGGTAAGCAGTGGGGGGTGAAAAGCTGATTCCACGTGCGAGTCGACCGTCGATGAAAACATACAAACATGCGAAAAACCGTTTGGGCAAATGCGTAATCTGGACTATCAGCACCCTGACATCTAATCTAAATCTCATTTGCTGTGATTTAGTGTGGATGGTTAAATTGTTATTGTCGTGCCCCATTTTGTGCAGCACGGCAGCTTTCGTGGCTACTTTTTTATTAAAGCTGAAGCGGCGCGGGGGGGGGGGGGGGTCGGACCGTAACAGCAGTTGCAGGAACCTTGAGGGCGAAGGTCAACAGGCCGGCAGGTGTGTGCGTTGGTAGCGAGCGCGGCCTGAGGCCCCCGGCGGTGGGGCCAGCGTTCCAACGCGCGTTGGTGGTCCGGCCGTGCCTTGCATCTTAATGGCACCTCGGTGCGCGCCGCCGCTTTGGCCCAGTGTTCCTCGCACAGTACATCCGATCCCTCTGAGGAAGGTGATGATTGTTTGCCAGGCCTCTTCCTGTTGAGCTGTACCAGCTCGCCGCATTCAAAGTGGTCTATAAATTAAAGGACTGTGGAAGGAAAGTCAAGGTCCTTCCTGCTGCCCGGACTCCGGCGATCGTAAAGAACCTTTGTCATACAGAACTCACGGCACAAAACCGCCGCGTGTGAAAAGCGAGTGTTGGGTGTCTGCCGGTTGTTGTGGTGCTCGCTCATCTTAATGGTTGATAATTGTGGCGTTTTTTACAGCACGATCGGAGCTGGAAGCACACACTTGGCTGTTGATAACTCAGATGTCGCACCAGGCTAGACGGAAATCTCGTGCATGGCGAAAGATATATTAGATTCACTTTTTAGAGCTGTGACGAATAATGCGCGCACACACTGTGAGGATGGATTAGTTTAGTTTGTTCACACAGCACAAACTGGTCACAGTGTGCAATCTGGCATTTCTAAAGGACGGCCTGGCTGGATAAAAGATGAATTATATAGTCTGTGAGAATCTAGAGCCCTTTTCAAAACTAGTCGTTAGAATCCTAAAAAGTCCCACAACTTTAAGTTAAAGCCGATTCAAGTGTTACTGTGTCTAGTGTTACTTTCATTCCCTTTAGTTAAATTCAATCCACATGCACGGCCACAGTGTGTTGCTGAATACTTTTGAAAGACTTTTTGATTCACATTTGTTACGACAGGAAACTGAATCACAGGGAGAGTAACGATGTTACTGACAAACAGTCCATTTAGCAGCTGTTCTTTGTCTCCAATCGTGTGATCTGATCCTCCTCAGCTGTCGAGCTCTAGTTTAATGTGAAGATCAGTACGACTCTGATGTCGCTGCAGTAAATATGAAGGCACCACTAGCGGCCGCTTGCACAGACAGCCGGAGGAGGGTGAAATCCGCTGGCCTGAAGCAAATATCGTTACCTGAGTTGGGACGGCGTCATGCAGCGAAGCCCGACGCTCGGCCTGCACATTCTCCACAAATGTTCCATTTCCATCATGTTTCTGTTGACAATTTGTGACGCAGAGGAACGGAAAAGGTGAAAGGGACAATGGCGCGTTGCTGTTTTATTAGAAAATAGTTTCATTGCACCACTGAAATGTCTCCGTCCGTTACACAAACGATGAGGACGCAGCAGCGAGCTGCTGTCTGAAACACATCGGCGGCTCATTAGCGCTCCAGCGGCTGACCAGCTGAACTCCCGTTGCCCTCACGACCTTCTCAATGCTCACGCCGCAGTGGTTCCAGCAGAAGTCCTCTCATGTCCCATCGAGAGAGAAAAAACAGCTATCT